CTCCCCACTACTGCCCCCCCTCCCCTTACCCGGCTCGCTCTGTGCCCCACTCCTCCATCATCTACAGTAGTTTCCCTTCCGGCTCCGCCCCTCCGCCCGCCCTTCCTTCTTTCCTCGTCCTCCGATTGGTCGCTGTAGGGCTCGCTTCCTTAGCCCCGCCTCCACCGACGGCCCCCTCTTCTTCTTCCATTGGCTGCTCTCGCTTATCGATCTCCCTTTGGGTCCCGCCTCTTTTCGGGGAGGGAGAGGGAGGAGGCGAAGACGCAAGGCCCGAGAGGCTTGTCTTCGTGGAGGAACGCGATTGGCTTATTTCCTTGTCCATCGGAAAAGTCGTCTTTGGGCCAATGGGAAAGGGAGGGGAGGGAGGCGGGACGCTCGGATTAAAAAAAATAAGACGGCCAATGCGTTGTCAAGGAGACGGGCGCGAGGGAAGCCGAGGGTGAGCCTCGCTTTGGCGGCGCAAATTGCTCTTGTCTCGGGGGGGGGAACAAAGAAGGGGCGCGGGAGGACCCGAAAGACCCCCTTCCCCCCTTTGGCTGCCTTATCTGCCTAGCGCCGCTCACTCCGAATAGGAAAACTTCCGGTGCAGAAAGCCGGCGCGGCCATGTTTGTTTTGGGCAAAGAAGCGAAGCGTCTCGTCAGATCCGGAAACCTGAAAACATTATGACGTCATTTTCCCGGACTTTACAATGCCCAATATCGGAATTGCAAGAAGACGCGCTTCTTTATTAATTAGAGATTAGGTTTTTGTCGCCTTTTTAAAAATTTATTTTTAAGGAGAGCCCTTGGCAGGATTGATTATTAAATGAAACCATTGCAATAATTTAGAATAGAGTAGAAACAGAAACAATAGAATAGAATAGAATAGAATAGAGCTGGAAGGGACCTTGGAGGTCTTCTAGTCCAGTCCCCTATGTGTGTTATAATATGATTTGTGACATCCATGTATCATATTGAATGTACCCGTTCTATATTTCACGTGCATTTCTTTCTAAATAAATATATATAGAAAGAAAAAATCTATGTAGCTGCTTGGAGTTGCAAATGGCTGGATGATAGTGAAGGGATTTTATTGTGCTTATGATTTTAGTATGTTTAAGTTTGACATTAGCATTTATTTTATATATAGTAACCATTTTATATTGATACTTATAGTGTTATCATGTAATCATTGTTTTGTTATTTTGTAATCGTTATTTTTTAGTTAATTGCTTGATCGGATGCTTTATATATATATATATTGGAAAAGTAAGGGCTTCATGCTTTAGGTATAGGTGATTGCTTATATGAAAAGAGCACGGTAAGGGGAGGGGGGAAAAGGCGTTATGGATGGATCCTGGGTTGCTGTGTATGAGTCATCATCTAGGAATTATTTTTTTGTGCCATCTTATGCCTGGTACTGAGACCTGATCTTTTTGTTCTGGAAAGGTATAAAAGGTGGAAGACATCTTTTCTGGTTGTTGCCTTCATCCCTCTACCAGCCACGAAGAGGAATCAGGCAGCCCCTCTCTGTTTTGATCAAAATAAAGTTGTAATCTTTGTTGAAACCTCGGCTCAGGAGTTTCTTTGGTTCTTTTAAATTCCTGAGTAACGCTGGGGCAGTTGTGAGGCTAAGTGGAAAACCTTACAATGCTAATTATATTTAAATAGCTAAAACTCAGGGATTCCCACAATTGCTGGCTGGCAAAGTTTTCCTCTGCATCTGGGGATTGAGCAGAGCAAAAGTGGTGCTGCGGGGGGGCGGGGCGGGGCGGTGGATTCTCCTGCCGAGAGAGGGCAGCCGAGACTGGCCTTCGCTGAGCCGTTCCCTGAACCCTCTCTTGACTTAGCCAGTCATGGATCCTGACGTTGCCATAAGAGTGGAAAGGGATGACGAGGGACGAGGCAGCTTCTCTGCTGGTCACCACCAGAACGGAGCTTTGCAGTCGGCTGTCCAGGAGAGGGAATTACGAATAATGAGGTTTATTGACAGGTGGATTAATTGTGGGAACTGAAATTCAGGAGACCTCAAGGGATTCTGCAGGGGGAGAGGCATTCTGCTCTTTCTTCCAGATGTTAGGGAAGGAGGGCCAGTTGACCTGCCTTGAGCACGGGGTTGGACTAGAAGACCTCCAAGGTCCCTTTCAGACCTAAGATTCTATGAGAGGCCCAGTGCAGAAAATGTCCTTAGCCGGGAGACCTGCCCTGTCAGGCTCTTGAGTTACAACTTACTAACTACCGTACTGGAAATGTTCTGCATCAACAGACCGTATCAGTTTCCCCCGGCTATCCACCAGAAAGCAGGAAAAAATATTGCTGTGAGATTTTTAGGAGTACAAATCAGGCTTAGGCCTGAAAATCTGGAGCTCAGCAAAATGGGGAGAGACGGACACACTGCAAAATATTGATTGAGCGTTGATCCACGAGATGTTCCAGAGAAGAACTTCTGATCCGGGGTTGGCAAAAGGGGTTTCAGTACCTTGGACAGGGATCGTGGCCAACAAAACCTGGCAATTGGCAAGCAGCCTTGGCATTTGGCTGTGGTCACTCCGGCCCTTCCATTCTCCCCAATCCTCCAGGATATAATGGCAGCTTTACAGAAGGACCGTGCAGTTTATTGCAGGAAATTTGTAGAACTTTTATGTCATCGTAAATTACCCTTTTGTTGCAGTTGCAGCTGGGAGAGGACCTGATGGATTTATGAGGCTCAGTATCACCAGAAGCTTCGCCAAAACCAGTGAAGGGAGAAGGAGAAGGAGTGGGGGGGTGTTAAATAGCCCCCTCTTTTCTCTTCATTTCCAAGACCATCTGTTGTTCCCCGGCATCTCTTGTCCCTGTCGTTTCTCTACAAAGTGTTTGAGAGCTGCTTTCCCAGCAAGCGCCTCGGAGGGCTCTGCTATCTCCTCTCCATATGGGAGCCTTTGGGGGTTCAGCCCCAACACCTTCCCTGTCCGGATCACCCCTTTTCAGCAAAGAAAGCCTTGGAGGAGCTTCGGGTCAAATGGCGAGCTGGAGAAAAGTCTCCTCTGCCCCAGGGCTGTGGCAGAGGCAAAGGGACCCCCAGAAACCTCTCACTAAAAAATGAGCCCACGTGGGAGTGGGGTGTGGTGGCTGGGCAGAGCGGCTTGCAGAAACAAGGGCGACGGGGCAGGGAGGGCTCCAGTCTTTGCCGCCTCTATCTGGCCCACTTTGACGACAGAAGACGAGCAAACAAACCATGGTTTGTTCAGTTACCATGTATTCTGCGCAGCCAGCCTGTCGGGACTAAGCTCTGGCCCAGGATGTTCTCTTTGGGTCAGTCCTGCCAGCAATAAGGAGGGGAATGAGCTCAGGGGGAAACCAAATCTTGCTTTCATGTTATTTCTGTGTGGTTTAAAAGCTTCTGTTTTTCTCATCAAAGTCCGGGAAATGTAGATTTCTGTGCTTCCCCTGGGTGGTGCGTTCACACTTGCCGAACCTGTCTCTCTCTTCCCAACCAGGCTGGCAAAAACCTGCCACCCACCCACCCACCCACCTTCTCCTTCTTCTGGTGTGGTTAAAAATAGAAGCAAGTGAGTTTAAAGTGAGTTACCCTATATATTTCTAACTCCCCCTCCCCAGGTTTCCATGGCAGCCAAAAGGAAGGGAGAAAGGGACACAGAGAGAGAGAGAGAGAGAGAGAGAGAGAGAGAGAGAGAGAGAGAGAGAGAGAGAGAGAGAAGTGGGGGGGGGCAGAGTGAAGGACGTTGCTTGATGCTGCCTAATTTTTCCTCTTTTCTTTTTATGAGGGGGGAGCAGACCTTTTTTCTGCTTCTGTTATTAATCCATTGCAGCAAGAGATTCTGTCCTGGGCAAGGATTCTTCTTTGAGATATTCA